CTACAAGTCTTCTGTCAAGATTCATGCAAAAGTGAAGTCAGATTCACTATGGAGCATGAAAAAAGATTTTAAGGTATCTGCAAGACACAAGAGAGTTTGGTATATGGTACAAGACCATGACCAACTCAAGGATGATTTGCTATACCGACAATGATTGGGCAGGATCAATAGACGACATGAAGAGTACGTCAGGATACGCCTTCTCACTAAGATCTGGTTTTTTCTCATGGGCATCAAAGAAGCAAGCAATTGTGGCACAATCAACAGCAGAAGCAGAATATGTAATTGCTGCTGAAACTACAAGTCAAGCAATATGGCTACGAAGAATACTTGAAGAAATGGACGAACCACAAGATGGACCAACTACTATCTATTACGACAACAAATCAGCAATAGCAATGACAAAGAATCATGTTCATCATCAAAGAACAAAACATATAACTATTAAATATCACTTTATCAGAGAGGCTGAAGCGACTAAACAAATTCAACTTGAGTACTGCACTACAGAAGATCAAATTGCAGACATATTTACAAAGACACTACCAAGAGCCAAGTTAGAACAATTACGTTTCATGCTTGGAGTTACAAGAATTTTCATCAAGGAGGAGTGTTGAAAGATGATACAAATTCTAGAAATATCTAGAATATAAAATCTTAGATATTACTAGAATTAGGAATTACATATGAGTAATATCTAGAATCCTTAAAAGATTCTAGAAATGTTTGAAAGAAGAAGATAGATAATTCTAGAATTAAGAAAATCTAGAATTATGTAAAACTTCTAAAACTATGTAGAAAACATATGTGTACTAGTAGAAACTATAGCATGATTCTAGAAAAAGAAAAAAGAAATAGAATAGTGTAGAAACAATGAAATTAGTAGAAAATTGTAGAATCTTGTAAGTAAAGCCTATAAATAGGCATGAAGGGAGTTTTTGTATGTGTGGAAAATCTAATACAAGCTCTTACATATCTTGTAACACTTTTAAAATCAATTACTATCTTCTCTCATACAAACCTTCTCTTATTTGTCCACCTCTTTTGACGACACTCAAACAGAAGGGAAACAATTTAGGGTTAGGTTTTAAGAGTTGATTTGATTAGAAAACAGAAAAACATAAAAGATATCGTAGGCGCCACAAATAAGAATATTTGATAAGCCAAGAAGGATCGCCACAAGAATCGAATAATTCTTGATAAGATCAAGTGATGCAAGGAAGAACCTTAGCAGAGCAACAACTCACAAAGTAATCTGAATATTACGTACGTTCCTTACGAATTCCCAAATGTTTAATACAACTTAAGTTTATGAGTTTGTCTCATTGCAGGAAATAAAGATAAATTAAAATCCTAATATCCCAAGCAAAGTTAAGTTGCCTAGATGGTTCAGTGAAGACATTATAAGCTTTGGGTCTTGGGTTCAAATCCCCACTGTAGCAAATAAAATATTAATAATAATAAAAACTAAATCTTTTAGTTGGGCCTCCTAGCTCTCCAAACATTCTATGCATGTGATAGGTCTAGACTCCTCCATGTTTGGATCTTTTAATAGTTGGGCCTTTAGCAAATTGGTCACTTTGTATTGCAATGCCTCTTGTGCTTTTCTGAGCCTGCCTCTTGTCATAGGTCCACCTAAGTCTTGGATTGGATCTTGGTCTTGATCCTTCTCGTTATGGGCTTGGGCCTTTATGTCCACATCATTCCCTCCTTCTTGGGCAGCATTTGTCCTCAAATCTATGAATTCATCTCCGTGATGTTATTGATAACTCTACAATCTGTGCACATCCTCCAAGTTCCATCTTTCTTAGGGACTAGAATGACTGGGACTGCACATGGACTCAAGCTTTCTTTAACCCACCCCTTTTGCATTAAGTCTTCAACTTGCTTTTGAATCTCCTTGGTTTCTTGGGGATTGCTTCGATAAGCTGGTCTATTAGGCAATGAAGCTCCTGGAATAAGGTCAATTTGATGCTCAATACCCCTAAGAGGGGGTAGACCTATAGGCACTTCTTTGGGAAAAACATCTTCAAAATCTTGCAACAAAGAAGAAACCTCTTTTGGAAGAGAGTTAGTAAAACATGGACTGTTTGATTTACTTTCTTTACTCAAAAGTAAAAGTATTGGCTTTCTCAATTGCATAGCTCTTTTGACTTCTTTTTCTTTTATAAACAGACTTGATTTTTTTTTTCTCTTTCTCTTTTTCTTCCTCTTTTTCCTTTTTCTTTTTTCTCTCTTTTTCTTTTCTCTTTTCTCTCTCTTTTTCTTTTCTTTCTTCTTTTCTTTTCTTTCTCATTTTCAGTTGATCCTCACTAACTTCTCTTGGAACCAAAGGTGCAAGAGTAGTTTTGCGGTCTTTATGCATAAAAGAGAACTTATTAGTGAAACCATCATGCATAACTCTCCTATCATACTGCCATGGTCTCCCAAGAAGTAAATGACAAGCCTCCATAGGCACCACATCACACAAAACAGAATCTTCATATTTCCCTATGGAAAAACCCACTTCAACTTGCCTATTCACGGTCATCTCACCATCTTCACTAAGCCATTGAAGTTTGTAAGGTCGCGGGTGTGGCTTAGTCTCCAAATTCATTTTTGAAACCAACCGTGCACTAGCCACATTAGTGCAACTCCCACCATCAATGATCAAAGAGCACAACTTCCCTGGAATGAGGCACCTTGCATGAAAAATATTTTCTCTTTGACAATCATCCAATTCAACTGATTGACTACCCAACATCCTTCTAATCATGAACAAATCTCCTTCTAACTCTTTTTCATCTTCATGCTCATTTTCATCACCAGATGAAGAATCTGAAGAAGATTCACTAATTATTTGTCCATCCTCCTTAAGTAACATAGTTTTCTTAGTAGGACATTGAGAAGCTATGTGACCTCTTCCCAAACATTTGAAGCACTTAACCTCACTACTCCTTGTTTTCTTAAGTGCCTCATCAGACTTATTTTGATTTCTATGAGCTATAACATGGGAATTGCTTGTTGATGATCCACCCTCCTTCTTATTTTTGTCCTTCCAACTAGGAGAGTGAAAATTAGATGAACTCCTCCTCATGGCACTCTTTCTCTTCAATTGTTGTTCCACCTTGGAAGCTTGATGTACTAAATCCTCCAACTCAACATAATTTTGCAGCTCCACAACATCCCTTATATCACTATTTAGCCCATGTAGGAATCGGGCCATAGTAGCCTCCCGTGCCTCCATAACATTAGCCCTAATCATGGAAACCTCCATCTCTTTGTAATATTCATCAACACCTCTACTACCTTGTATGAGTCTTTGGAGCTTGTTGTGAAGATCTCTTTGATAATGAGAAGGAACAAATCTTCTTCTCATCAACCTCTTCATTTCTTCCCAACTTTCCACCAAGGGTTCTTCATATCTCACCCTTTCCCTTTGTAATTGGTTCCACCAAATAAGAGCATAATCGATGAATTCCATGGCTGCCACCCTCATTTTTTTATCTTCTGTGTAATTATGGCATGCAAATAGTTGCTCAATTTTTATTTCCCACTCCAAATATGCTTTTGGATCACTCTTTCCTTGAAAAGAGGGTATGTTCAGCTTTACTCCTTCAATTCTGTTATCTCTAACATCACCTTCATTATTTCTCCTTCTCCTCCTTCTACCTCCATCATCATCATCATTTCCTTGATTTTCTAGTTGTTCAATTCTCCCATACAACTCCTCGGTATGTTCCGTCAACATTCTTTGCATTTGGGCTGTAATGGCATCAATCAATAATCTATTGTCACCCCTAGAGGAGGGGTACCACCACCTACACCTGCCATCTTTCAAGTAAAAAAGAAGAAAGGACCAAACAAATGAAGTAATAGGACCTCACCACTCTTCTCACGTGTTTGCACTCAAAGATGTACCACTCGTGTTTACTCTCAATTTGGCTTTTGTATAATATGCACTCTTGCCTTTTTCCACTTGTTCTCTGACTTATGGTTCTTACAAGAATCAAACAATCTATAGTTCAAGAATCACTTTCAACTTAGCAATCACAAGGAATAAAACAGAATTGTAGTACCAACAAAGGACAAGTAGCAAAGAATAATTTTACTACTAATAACAAGCAAGACAAATTTAAACTATGGAAAAACAAAGATTAGACAAAGACGTTTGACACTTAGGAATTTTATCAAACAACTAATGTGCACTGAAATTTAAAGAAAGAACAACTGCCACATATATATATAATTTTTTTTCTGATTCTTTTCTTCTTTTGATTCTTTTCCTTTTTGATTTTTTTTTTATATTTTTTTATTATTCTTTTTTTTATTCTTTTCTGAGAAACTAATTTCAAACACAACTTTGTATATATATATATATATATATATATATATATATATATATATATCTAAATGAAATTCAATATCAAAATTGCATAAACAACAATTTTTTTTGAACAGTATACAGAACAGTGATGAACAGTACATGTGAACAGTATAATGAACAGTGACAATGAACAGTAACGTGAACAGTGACAATGAATAGTACCCCGTGAACAGTAACAATGTACAGTCCCGTGAACAGTAACAATGAACAGTGTTGGGCCTCCTAGCTCTCCAATGACAATGAACAGTAACAATAATAATAAAAACTAAATCTTTTAGTTGGGCCTCCTAGCTCTCCAAACATTTTATGCATGTGATAGGTCTAGACTCCTCCATGTTTGAATCTTTTAATAGTTGGGTCTTTAGCAAATTGGTCACTTTGTATTGCAATGCCTCTTGTGCTTTTCTGAGCCTGCCTCTTGTCATAGGTCCACCTAAGTCTTGGATTGGATCTTGGTCTTGATCCTTCTCGTTATGGGTTTGGGCCTTTATGTCCACATCATCTTTCTAAAAACTATTTTCTACACAAATCTCACTACTAAACATCAAACTATCTTTCCTATCCTTCCTAAAATCCTAACAAAAATGCATAACATGACAGAAAAATGACATGTATTATTGTGCTTTATGCACAGGGCTGCTAAGTATCGCCAGGAGAAAATTTTTGAGATCATAGAAAGAACAGGTACAGCTGAATCATTGGTCGCTCAAATCTCAGATAAAGAACGAACTATCTTGCATGAAGTTGCAAGGATGGATCAATACAAAGGAGAAAACTTAGCTGGAGTTGTATTTCGTCTCCAAGATGAGTTGCGTTGGTATGATGTAAGTGGTTGATTAACCCTTTACAACTTACTATATATTTGGACACTTTTTTGGTCTATTAAAAAGATCCTTAGTTATCTAGATACTTCTCTTAGTTTTACAAAATGTAGCTACTAAAAAAATTTAGAAAGAGTAATCTAAGTCTTTTAAGACTACTTGCAAATGACTAGAAAATAACTATTGTGTGTTCAGAATGTGAGAAAAATCACTCCTAAAAATTACAACATGCACTGTGACATATATACGGACATACACCTGGAGATATCTTAGAAATTGAGCATGAGAAGATGCTTGAAGAGGCACAAAAATGGTTAAAAGAAACTGCTCAATCATGCTCCACTGTTGCAATTCTAGTTGCTACAGTTGTATTTGCCGCTGCATATACCATTCCAGGTGGATCTCAGGATGGTACTCCTGTATTCCTTCACTCCGGTGTGTTTATCTTTTTCATCGTCATGGATGTTGTGGCTCTTGCTACCTCACTTGCTTCAGTGGTGGTGTTCCTCTCCATCCTCACTTCCCCATGTGACTTGTGGGATTTTCACAAGCCTCTCCCGCGAAAACTCATCTCGGGATTTGTTTTGTTGTTCATATCACTGATGACAACAATGCTTGCATTCAGTGCAACCCTTGTGCTAACCATTCGATTGAAATGGGTGAATTGGTCTTCAGCGTTGATATACATTGTTGCTTTCTTTCCTGTCACTGTATTTGTCTTTATTGTAAAACTTAAATTAGACGTTTAGTATTCCTATAATGGTTTTAATTACGAGTGGTATAACTAATGAGTTGTAAACCTATTTAATAGGTATTATGATTTACGTTTGGTATTTGAAAAGGCAAATATTTTGGCCATAAATAATTGTAACAACTCATTTGAAATTGTATCAGGAGAAAAATTGAGAGCGTTGTTTTGTTTTCCTGTTACCAACAAATTGGTATCAGAGCTTGTGTGTGAGGTAAGTGTGAGAGAACCTACCAAATCTCAAGAGAGAACGCTGCGGTGTGAGAGGAGCAACTTAAAGCTTTGTGAGGTGTGTGAGTTGAGAGCAAACACTTGAGAGGAAATGGCAGGTCTAACCAATGGCATCCCGCTACCCAAGTTGACGAAAGGCACCAACTATGACAACTGGAAGGTACAAATGAAGGCTCTTCTCGGCTCCCAAGATAACTGGGATGTGGTCGAGAATGGGTATGAGGAACCAGCAAACACAGATGGGTATTCAAATGCCCAGCTGAACGCATTGAAGGCCGTTCGAGCAAAAGACAAGGCGGCTCTGTATCTACTATACCGAGCCGTCGACGAATCTGGCTTTGAGAAGATAGCTAACGCAAAATCTTCCAAAATAGCATGGGATACACTTGAAAAAACAAACAAAGGAGATGAAAGGGTGAAACAAGTTCGACTTCAAACCCTTAGGGGCGAGCTTGAAAACATGAGGATGAAAGAGCCTGAAAGCGTATCCGAGTTCATTACTCGGGTGGAGACTGTGGTGAACAAGCTGAATCAAAATGGTGAGAGTCTTTCATCAAACCGAGTTGTTGAAAAAATCTTAAGATCATTGACGAGATGATTTCGAGAACATCGTGTGCGCAATAGAGGAGTCCAAGGATCTGTCAACGCTCACCCTTGAAGAGCTTGCTGGGTCCCTAGAAGCGCATGAGCAGAGAAGGAAAAACAAGAAGGGGGAGTCCCTTGAACAGACACTCCAGACAAAGGCGACAATAAAAGAGGAGAAGGTGCTATATGCTCAGAGCTCTAGAGGTCGAGGAAAAGGCAGAGGTCGTGGTGGTAGAGGAAAAGGAGGACGAGGAAATGAGCAAGACGGTCAACAGAACTGGCGTGGCCAAGGACAGGCTCGGGGTGGCCGGACAAACACAAACAATATTGAATGCTATAATTGTGGAAAGAATGGGCATGTTGCCAAGGACTGTTACTCCGTAAAATGCTATAATTGTGGAAAACTGGGTCATATTTCCAAAGATTGTAGGTCTGAGAAGAAAAAGGAGGAACCAACAAACTTTCTTGCTGAGGAAGAAGATGAAGGATTGCTGGTGGTGACAAACACTTCAGAAACTGAGATCAAACCGAACTGTTCTAATAACTCGGTTTGGTACTTAGACACCGGCGCTAGTAACCACATGTGTGGTGATGAGCACTTATTCAAAATACTTTCAAAGGTGGAGTCCGGATCTGTTTCTTTCGGTGATGCTTCGAAAGTAGCTGTCAAAGGTCAAGGAACGATATGGTATCAACAGAGAAATGGGCAAATTGGAGAGATCACAGATGTATACTACGTACCTGATCTCAAAAGCAACATATTGAGCATGGGACAGTTAATGGAGAAGGGGTACTCGGTTCTGATGAAGGACCGAGAACTACAACTGAAGGATAAATTAGGGAGGCTTGTTGCTCTGGTGGGAATGAAGAAAAATCGCATGTACAAACTTGAGCTGAAGACAGTTCAAGATAAATGTATGCAATTTGATATGGAGGATGAGGTCATGAGGTGGCATTTGCGGTTTGGTCATCTTCATTTTGGTGGGTTGACTGCGCTGGTGAAAAAGGAGATGGTGCTCGGATTGCCTAAAATGGAATTCGGAAAAAGGTTCTGTGAAGAATGTGTGATTGGGAAGCAAGCGAGAACTTCTTTCCCAAGAAGTTCTGAGTGTCGAGCAAAGCAGCAACTCGGAGTGATCCATACTGATTTGTGTGGGCCAATAACTCCAGAATCTTTCAGTGGTAAGAGATACTTTGTCTCTTTCATTGATGATTTTTCAAGGAAAACATGGGTTTATTTTCTGAAGGAGAAGTCAGAAGTGTTTGAAACTTTCAAGAAATTCAAAGTTATGGTGGAGAAAGAAACAAACAAAGTCATCAAAGCATTCCGATCTGACAGAGGAGGCGAGTTCACTTCTACTGAGTTCAACAAATACTGTGAGGAACATGGGATCAAACATTTCCTGACTGCCCCATATTCTCCGCAGCAAAACGGTGTAGCGGAACGAAAGAACCGAACCATTCTTGATATGGTTCGATCTATGTTGAAAGGGAAGAATATGCCAAAGAAGTTTTGGGCAGAGGCGGTGCAGTGCGCAGTCTATTTGCAAAATAGATGTCCACATGCAAAGCTAGGAGAGAAGACGCCTCAGGAGATATGGAGTGGTATGAAGCCAAGTGTCTCTCATCTAAAGGTGTTTGGTAGCATGGCTTATGGGCAAGTACCAAGTCAGCACAGGACTAAATTAGAAGATCGGAGTAAGAAGTACATATTTATCGGGTATGATGGAAAATCTAAAGCTTATAAATTGTTTGATCCTGTTAATAATAAAGTGGTGGTAAGCCGAGATGTTCATGTGGAAGAAACAAAGCATTGGTGCTGGAGTAACCCGACAGAAGAAGAAACTAGTTCAGAAATTGTTTTGCCTTCAACAATAACAACCATTGAGTCCTTAGATAAAGAAATAGAGCCACAACAGCCCAAGATGAGAAGTCTGCAGGATATATACGACACTACAAATGAAGTTCATGTTGTATGTCTTTTGGCTAATTCCGAAGACTTGAGTTTTGAGAAAGCTGTCCAAGATGAGAAGTGGAGAACAACCATGGATGAGGAGATTGGAGCGATTGAACGCAACAAAACTTGGGAACTGACTGAACTTCCTAAAGGAGCTCAACCCATTGGAGTAAAATGGGTGTACAAAAAGAAGATGAATGTTGAGGGAGAGGTTGAACGTTACAAGGCTCGACTTGTGGTGAAGGGTTATAAACAAAAGGAGGGAATTGACTATGATGAAGTATTTGCTCCTGTTACGAGAATGGAGTCAATCCGACTTCTAATCTCATTAGCTGCTCAGAATCAATGGTCGATTCTACAGATAGATGTGAAGTCAGCATTTCTAAATGGAGTGCTGAAGGAAGAAGTGTATGTTGAGCAACCACTCGGGTACATGAAGAGAGGGGATGAGGAAAAGGTACTGAGATTAAGAAAAGCTCTCTATGGGCTGAAGCAGGCTCCTCGTGCTTGGAATGAGAGAATTGATGGGTATTTCAAGAAAAATGGGTATGAACAATGTCCATATGAGCATGCTTTGTGCACAAAGAAATTAAAAAAGGATATGATGATAGTTGCTCTTTATGTTGACGATCTCATATTCACTGGAAGCAATACGAAGCTAATTAAGGAGTTCAAGGAGGTAATGAAGAAAGAGTTCGAAATGACAGACTTAGGGCTGATGAAATATTTTCTTGGCCTAGAAGTGAAGCAATCAGAGGAAGGAATTTTTATATCCCAAGAGAGGTATGCACTTGAAATTTTAAAGAAATTTAAAATGGAGGACTGTAACCCGGTTTCTACTCCAATGGAACCAGGCACTAAACTCTCAAAGTTTGATGGAGGAGAACGAGCTGATTCTGGGAGATATCGAAGCTTAATCGGAAGTCTGAGATACCTTACAAGCACAAACCCCGACTTAATGTTGAGTGTTGGGATAACGAGCAGATACATGGAGAATCCAAGTTACACACATTGGAAGGCCTTAAAGAGAATTTTGAGATATGTTCGAGGAACCTTATCACTTGGTCTATTCTATTCAAAATCGGATGACTACCGACTAGTGAGTTACTCGGATAGTGATTGGTGTGGTGATATTGATGACCGGAAAAGTACTTCAGGTTATGTGTTCCTACTTGGAAAAACAACTTTTACTTGGCCGTCAAAGAAGCAACCCATTGTAACTCGTCAACCTCGTGAGGCCGAGTATGTGGCGGCCTCTTGGAGTGTGTGTCATGCAGTTTGGCTTTCAAATTTACTAAGGCATCTGGGAGTGATCCAAGACGAAAGGATTGTAATTCGAGTTGACAACAAGTCAGCGATCGAGTTGACAAAGAACCCGGTTAATCATGGAAGGAGCAAGCACATTGACGTCCGATTTCATTTCATCCGAGAACAAGTTAGAGAAGGAAAGGTTGAGCTGGAGCATGTTGAAAGCCGAGCTCAAGCTGCTGACAT